CACTCGTCGAAATATTGCTTGTAATCTTCTCAAGGCATTTTATGTATTTTTCTCCCTGGCTAGACTGTGACCTCCTCAAAGGCAGGGACTCTCTTGCAATATATTTCCTTTGCTACTCCTAGTGTGTGTGTGTGTGTGTGTGTGTGTGTGTGTGTGTGTGTGTGTGTGTGTGTGTGTGTTTAATGGTTTTTAGAGGGGGAGAGGAGGGGGAGAGGAGGGGAAGAGAGAGAGAGAGAGAGAAAGAGAGAGAGAGATTGATTTGTTGTCCCACATATTTATGCATTGATTCTTGTATGTTCCCAGACTGGGGAAAGAACCCAGCTTGGCATATCAGGATAATGCTCTAACTGAGCTACCTAGCCAGACCCTCTCCTACTGTGCTTTAAAGTTCCTTTGGCTACCACTGATTCTAATTAACAACAAAAAAGCACCAGTAAGAACCAATGCATTCATTATTGTTTCTTGTGTTCCCTGGCTTCCCCACTAAAAGGTTCTCTAAATATCAATCATAAAAAGTACTTATCACGTTTACAGTTTACCTGTGCTGTGGAAACGAATACCTGTGATGGTGTGAGGGAAAGTAAGTCTTTATTGGTCTTCAAAAGTTAGAAGTCATTTTCTAGATGTGACATTGGGTAAGTCCCATCATCGCTCAGAGTTTATGTCTTTTCATTCAGTAAAATGAGGTGACTGGGATATCTTTAAACTCACACCAGATTGGCTCTAGGTCCCCAGGATACATGCATAAGCAGTGCCTTTCAGTGTATTCCTCCCAATCCATTTCTCCCTGCTTGGAGAGCACCTTTGCTTCCTCCACAGTCAGCATACCCGATCCAAACTTAGGTGCAATAATACCACAGTGGGCAGAATTTTGCCTCTGATGACTCTCCACTGGTCTAATCTACACATCCCAGGAAGTTTGCTTCTATTTCCACGGTCAAACCTTAGTCTTTTACAATGAGAGCCAAGTGTAGATATTCCAAGGGTCCTATCCAAGCAACTGTCACAGCAGAGGCCCAGTCTTAGGTCGGCTTGCTGCGAGGGAGGAGAGGATGGAGAGAATGGAGAGGGCTGAGATTGGCGGGACCCTCATCCTTGCCGTGGAGCCTCACCATTAGGGTTCTGAGTGACCCCAGGCTGGATCTGGGTATGAGTCTTTCTAAAAAAACAAAATGGAATAAAGATTTCCCCCCAATCCTTTTACTTCAGCTCTAATAGTGTCCTTCCCCCTTTCATTCCCTCTGCATAGGTATAATATCAAGAACCAACCAATTGGTTTTATGTGTCTGGAATTAGCTCTTTCCCTAGAAATAAATCAGACAGAGAAAGACAAATACCATATTTCACTTGTATGTGGAATCTTAAGAACAAAATAAATGAGCAAACAAAATAGAAACAAAGTGTCCTCGTTGGCTGAGGACTGTCTCTGGCCTGACTATAAATTTCCTAGTCTTGCCTAAACCGGTTTGGCTCAGTGGATAGAGCGTCGGCCTGCAGACTGAAAGGTCCAGGGTTCGATTCCGGTCAAGGGCATCTACATTGGTTGCGGGCACATCCCCAGTCGGGGGTGGGCAAGAGGCAGTTGGTAGATGTTTCTCTCTCATCGACGTTTCTAACTCTATCCCTTTCAATTCCTCTCTGTGTAAAATCAATAAAATATATATTTTTTTAAATTTTCCTAGTCTTGAGAGCTCCAGATGGTGAAAGGGGAAACATGTCTGAGGAGTAAGGCGGAGAAAACACCACCACCAGCCTTATTCTTCATAAACCACATTCAGGCCTGTGCCAAACAGGGCTAGCCAAAGCTAACACCCAACGTCTTCTGTGAAAGCCTGCACGAACCCTGTCCTGTGACTCTCAAAAGACACAAAATGGATCCATAATCCTTCCATTTTCTCCCTTACCCCGCTTTAGACTTAGTGGCTGATGACGAAAATCGGGTGGTGAGTTGCCACAGTCTACCTGATGATGTATCCTTGGCAGCACCCTATGAACCTCACTACCAATGGTAAATGTTAAACAGAACTATTAAGGGTGAGCAGCCTTGCCTTGGCCAGTTTGTCTCAGTGGACAGAGCATCGGTCTGCGAACTGGAGGGTCCAGGTTCAATTCCGGTCAAGGGCATGTGCCTTGGTTGCCAGCACATCCCCAGTAGGGGGTGTGCAGGAGGCAGCTCATCAATGTTTCTCTCTCATCGATATTTCTATTTATTTTATTGATTTTTCACAGAGAGGAAGGGAGAGAGATAGAGAGCCAGAAACGTCGATGAGAGAGAAACATTGACCAGCTGCCTCCTGCACACCCCCTACCAGGGACATGCCCGCAACCAACGTACATGCCTCTGACCGGAATTGAACCTGGGACCTTTCAGTCCGCAGACCAACGCTCTACCACTGAGCCAAACCGGTTTCAGCTCTCATCGATATTTCCAGCTCTCATCAATATTTCTAACTCTCTATTCCTCTCCCTTCTTCTCTGTAAAAAAAAAAAAAAAAAAAAAAAAAAATCAATTAAAATAGGATGAGCAGCCTCCCAGTACATAGGGAAAGGGAAACTCTTGCAATGTCGGTACACTTTGGAGCCTGCAGGTAATGCAGGGTGGCTGGGGCTGCTGTTCCCTTGGCCTGTCCTCATCAGATGTTAGCACTGTTTTCCCTCAGCAAAGAGAGAGTAGCCACAGAAGCAAAAAGAGTCATGGTGAGCATAGACCTAGATACGAATCAGCCAGTCAGCAGCAGATGGAGCTTGAAATCAGAGTAAAGCACAAGGATCCAAATGATGGAGTAGACAAGACTCCCAAGAGTAAAGACAGAACTGAAGAGATGGATATAAAGCTGCACACACTTCTCTGATTTCCCAGGCTTGGAGCACCCTGCTGAGAAAATTTCCCAGTCACAGTCTTTGGATTCACTTATCTATAATAATAAAAGCATAATGTACTAATTAGACAGGACGACCTTCCGGACAAAGCTGGGGGAAGCCAGGTCCCGGTGTCAGAGGGAAGCTGGTGCTGGGGGAGGCCTACTCTTGCACAAATTTCGTGCATCAGGCCTCTAGTTTAATAATAATAATAGTTCAGAATCCCAGCTGTAGAACAAGTAATCTAGTATCAGACCATTTATCCCTCCAAAAAAGTACATTCTCCACCCCCTCAAGCAGTCAGTGGTATGAATCTGAACTCACTCACATTCACACGGAGGTCTCTTCTCTGCATTTTCTAGATTGGCTGGCAGTCATCTTAGAATAACCCATAAGTGTGAAATGTCTGTTCTCAGGAGTCATCATTTCCACTGCGAAATTCTAAGTGACAGAGAATGAAGACTAAGTATCCAAGATTATCAGATTAATTTGCCTAAGACCAATTTACCTAGAGATAATTAGTCTAAAATAAATATTTATCAAATCTGCAGCATTTTCAAAAGGATCTAGCAGATTCACCCTTTCACTTTTTAATGATGCTGTCTGTATAACCTTGAATTGTTAGTCAACTGAATAAGCCACATGCCTGTTCATTTGCTTCAGATATATTGACATCTTAACAGCATGGATGTAGAAGTTAGACCAAAGCACAAAATCATATTGAGCTTTGTTATTTTTTTCAAGGCATCTAATTTGTAAAGTAATATTGGATTAAGAAACACACACACACACAAAAAGATACACAAAATGTCTGTACCAATTATATTTATTGCTAGAAACTTTAAGCTTTTTTTTAAAAAAAGTGAACAGTAAATAACATAAAGGTAGGAGGAAGCAATCTTCTCATTTACAAAGTGCTGCAAATTTGATAAATTTATGTTACTGATAATTCAGAAGAACTCTTGGATGAATAGATATAAATCCTGAAATACCCAAAGCATGACGAAAAAAGAATAGAATACCTAAATGGCTAATAGAAATAAAAATAAAAATAAAAATAAAATACCCAAAAGGGATTTGAGCTTTTGGCAGTGGTAGTAACTTGAAACACACAGGTTTTCAGTGAAATGGTTTTAAGAGATCTAGCTTTAGGTAAACGCATTTTAGCAAAAGTGAACAAGAACCAAGTCAAAGTGTTTTGTCCCTCTGGCGCCCCTGAACCTCCGAGTTGGGGAGTTACAGTAGATGTAATCCTGGATCCCTCTGAAAGACGGCAGCTCTGGGGAAGCGAACTGCTGCCAGAGAACCAGGTGCAAGAGTGACCTGAGAGAAGGGAGTGTGTGCATGTGTGAGGATATGCCCACGGGTGCACACACTGGGCAGGAGGGCTCGATGCACCTACACTTGGAGAGTGTGAATAGCCTGAAGCTTCAAAAATGTCTCCCCCAGCAATTCCATCCCCCCGAGACCCACTCCTAACCACCTCCACCGGCTGAGGAGAAGTACAGGCACCCCATTAGTCTTCCCAGGCTCACGTGAGTCCCTGAGAATCAGGCAGTACAGGCAGCAGGCCTCCCTGGAGCTGGTCTCTATTCCCAGCCTTGAGGTGAGCAGCTCTCTTAATCCTTAGAGAGAAGGTGGCCAAGAAGTAGCTCATTTATAAGGTCCACCTCTTCATCTAGATACAGAAGTAAGAGACTATGGTGTGGTAAGAACCTGGTTGCCCTCCTATCTGACCCCATGGGTGGGGTACAAAATAGTCAGGAGCTTCCATGATGTCTTCCCTTCCTGTAATCCAGGACCACAACACTGCCTGATTTACGCATAGACTTAACCTGGAGATACAGACTGGAATCAGACCTTTACAGTGTATTGGAGCAGCCTGTGCGTGCATAAGTTTATGCTACAGCACAGGCTGCACATGTGGGAAGGAGGCCGGTCACCCCCACCGTGGTAACTGGAAGGTTCCTCCTCCACAATCCATTTGGAATGTCATCATCTTTGGGTCTCTGGCCCTTGGGGCCTCCCCAAAGGACTCTTCTGCCAGGCCTGCAGAGGACATCCTTGGCCTCAGCTGGCCTCGGGGCCCACTGGCCAGAGGAACTTGTCAGTGGTGGTGAGGGCAGCCCAGTGGCTGCTGCTCAGATGTAGTTGGCCGGGGGCTGTCGAGCATTGAGCCGCTGCAGGTGACAGCTGTGGCAGAGCAGGTGCCCGTCCAGAGGGAAGCAGCAGCAGCCTTCCTCATCACTCAGCTGCATCCGGCAGTCCTAGGGGAAAGGGACACCGGTTCACCTCAGCCCAGGCACCGGGGGCATTTAGTAGTCTGCCCTTCTCAACCCCAGACTTCTAACGACCAGGAGAAAAAAGGGTGGGTGGGAAGGGATGGACGCCCAGGAGAGAAACATGAGAAAATCCCTCAGCTGGACACCAGGTGTCGCTGCTATAGCAAAAATAATGGGAAAGGCTCCCGTCTCCATTGCATACCAGGAGACCCTATTCAGAAAGGACGAAACAACTGGGACCAGAGAGAGTGGCTGGAGGATGAGAGAGACTGGAGACAGGTCAGAGCACTTTCCTAGAGTTCATGATCTGTGCTTTCCTACAGTCGGGTCCAGGGCTTGACTCTTCCTGGGGCCCCATTCCAATTTCCCAGGAGTTTGGGCCCCCAAAACTCACCTCACAGTGATAGCACTCAAAGTGATAATCTCGGTCCATGGAGATCACCCTCACAATGTCCTCACAGCCCTGAAATAATGCAGACCCCCATGGAGATGAGAGCAGTCTGACAGCCCCACTTCCCCCTCCCCTGTACAGGCCCCACCCACCCAATGGGAAAACCAGACAAAGGCCTCCAGAGCCTCTCTGCAGTCATCTGTAGCTTTCCAACGGGCTTTGCAAACCCTCCTGGAACTTCCCCTCCCTCTCCCTGTCTCTGGGGGCTTGGCCTTGCCTATCTCTCCCGGCTGTAGGGGAAGCAGAGGGAGGGTAAGGGGCAGGCAGCATAAATACCGGAGGTTAAGCTGGGGACAAGGAGGCCCAACAGGGTCTGGCTCCTCGTTGGCTTTGGCTAAGCACAACCTCAGCACACACAGGATAAATCACTCCCCACCTTTTCCTGCTGGCCCTGATTCCCCCCACCTTTTTCCAGCCCCTCCTCTGGCCTCTGGTGACCCTGACCTCAAAGAAAGTCTGCCTCTCTGCACTGGGAGAGAAGAGACAGAGCCTGGGCCCAGTGAGGCTGTCAGACACTTCCGGGCCCGGATGTGAGGGTCAGGGGGGTAACCCCGAGAGCAGAGTCACACGGGAATCTCCACAGAGTACATTCCTCAGCGCCACAGCGTCCCAAGGGAGTCCGGGCCGCACGTCCCCATCCCTTCCTCACAGGCAGGCACTGGCTGCCCAGCGGGAGAACCCAGACACACTGACCTCGGAGGGGAGGATGGGCTGGCAGCAAGCCGCACATTTAGGAGCATAATTTCTGAAAGAGAGAGGGCAGAGGTGAGCTGAGATTCGGGAATCCTGAGCGCAGGTCCGCACCATACGGCAAGGGGTGCACTCACTTGTGGTAGTCGGTGACGCAGTACACCTGGTTGGAGAAGTCCACTGTGAAGGGGATGCCATCCAGGCACTTGTTGCACACGATGCATCGGAAGCAGCCCGGGTGATAGGACTTGCCCATTGCCTGTAGGATCTGGCCGTGGAGGGGGAGGAGAATCAGTCTCCCTCCAGTCCCACCTTCCCAGCTGCTCATGATGTTCTCTGCTTCTCTCACAAAAGTCACCCACCCCCCTGCTTCCCTTCCGGAACAATGCTATGGAGTCAGAGGGGACCAAAGAGCCTTAAAGTGGAGACAAAGCCCTGGCCGGTGTGGCTCAGTTAGCTGGACATTGTCCCACGCCCTGAAAGGTTGCCTGTTTGCTTCCCAGTTAGGGCACATGCCTGGATTGTAGGCTTGATTCCTCATGGAGGGAGTGCTGGAGGCAGTAGATTGATGCTTTTCTCTCCTCCTCTCTCTAAAAATCAATTTTTTTTAAAAGTTGAGGCATGCCCTGGCCAGTTTGGCTCAGTGGATAGTGTTGGCCTGTGGACTCAAAGGTCCCAGGTTCGATTCTGGTCAAGGGCATGTGCCTTGGTTGTGGGCACATCCCCAGTGGGGGGTATGCAGGAGGCAGCTGATTGATATTTCTTTCTCATCGATGTTTCTGGCTCTCTCTCCCTCTCCCTTCCTTTCTGTAAAAAAATAAAATAAAATATATTTAAAAAGTGGAGGCAGCCGAAGCCGGTTTGGCTCAGTGGATAGAGCGTTGGTCTGCGAACTAAAAGGTCCCAGGTTCGATTCCGGTCAAGGGCATGTATATTGGTTGCGGGCACATCCCTGGTGGGGGGTGTGCAGGAGGCAGCTGGTTGATGTTCCTCTCTTATTGATATTTCTAGCTCTCTATCTCTCTCCCTTCCTCTCTGTAAAAAATCAATAAAAATAAATAAAAAAGTGGAGGCAGAAACCCTGAAAAAAGGTTTTAGAAAGCAAATAGGCTAGTGGTTCTCAGCCCTGGCTGCATAAGGATCATCCAGGGAGCTTTTAATATTTTTATCTTTAAAATCCTCACCTGAAGACATGCTTTTATTGGTTTTAAAGTGAGAGGAAGGGAAAGAGAGAAAAACACCCATCAGTTGCCTCCTGCACACACTTTGTCTGATCGGGGATTGAACCTGAAACCTAGGTATGTGCCCTGACTGGGAGTTGAACTAGTCACATATTGGTGTACGGGATGATGTTCCAACCAATTGAGCCACACCGGCCGGACACCCAGGGAGCTTTTAAAGACCAGCAAAGCCTGGGTGCCACCCCAGAATTTTATCCAGGTGTCTTCATCACAGTGTCTGGTGAAGACGCAGGATTTGGCATTTTTCTTTGCTTCTTCTCAGGTGATCTGCTGGGCTGCCAGGGCTGAAAACAACTGATCTAACCCAATCCCTCTTTCTTATAGAAAAGAAAACTGAGTTCCAGCTGATCCTAGCTGGTAGCAAAGAGGGGATTCAAACCCAGAACCCCATGCTCCTAGCTCAGGTGGAGGGCCAGGCCGCGCCTGCAGAATTAGGGAGGGGCCAGATCACACTGGTCTAGGGATGGCAGGATTAGGTGTCAGGACTTGACGTCAGAGACAGAGAAGCCACTCTCAACAGTTGCTCCGGGAAGGAATGGATGAGTGATTCATCTGCTGAAAGTGTCCCCCCCCCCCCCCCCCGCCCACCTCCACCCCAATATCCATTTAGTCTCTGATTCCATCCCTCAATCTCACTCAGAGTCTCTGCTGAAGCCATTTGCTTACCTTTTCCAAAATCAAATGACCACAAACACAGCACTTCTCAGCTGCCTCCTGAAACCCTGAAAACTAGAGACCAAGGTGAATGTTATAAACTGAGAATGACCGGATGGATGGCACCCCAATGGGCCACCAAAAAGGGGGTCCCACGTGGGAGCCAATGCTAAGCCCCGGGGTCCCTCTCACTCACCAGGTAATCTTCCTCACAGTACACGGAGCCGTTGACGCTGTAGAAAGCCTTGCAGCGCAGAGTTCGCCCTGGAAGCGGCAGAGAAGGGGTTGGGGGCTGTGCTGGTGCCCAGCACAGGGCTTCCCCGCTTCCTGCTCTCCCCGGTGGCGTGGTTACTTATCCTCCTCCCTCCCCACACAAAAATCCCCTCTGACTCAATTCCAATCTGCTTTAGTCTCATTCCTGCCAATCTCCCCGCTTCTCTGCTCACTGCTCCTCCAGCTGCTGCCTCAACAGTTTTCTGTAACTCCGTCTCAAATGAGTGCCTTCCCCCGTGTGTGGGGAGCCACCCGGGAAGCAAAGCCAACCACAGGCTGAGTCCACAGTCAAAGGAACTCCGAAAGCCCCAGCTGGTTAGAGTGTCAGCTCTCAGACTGAAGGGTCATGGGTCCAACTCCAGTCAAGGGCAAGTGCCTCAGCTGCACGCTCGATCCTCAGCCCTGGTCTGGGTGTGCAGGAGGCAGCCAATTGATGTGCCTCTCTCACAGCCACGTTCCTCTCTCTTTGTCTCTCCCCCTCCCTTCCACTCCTTCTAAAAATCAATGAAAAAAATATCCTCAGGTGAGGATTAACAATAGCATAACAAGGGGCTCTGAAAAAAGTGGTGTCCAACGTGCACAGAGATGGCCACACTGTCACAGGCCTTGCCCTCTGGGGCCTTTCACCCTAGGAGCCTGCTTGCATGAGCAAAGCTCTCCTGCTCGCCTCGCCCCACAGGTCTCCATCCAGGGACAGGCTCTGCGGAGGCCAGGACCTGGAGTTACTGCTGAGGACAAAGTGCTTGGTTTGGGGCGGAGCTGGTCCTCTTTCCTGCCGCACGAGACTCTTCCCCAAGCTTAGAGGGACCCAGCCTCCAGGTCAGAGGCAGCGCAGGATGTCCTAGGAGCAGCCAACGCAGGACCATTCCCCAAGTAACTAATACCTAGGAACTTCTCCAGGGCATCTAAAGGGTCAGGAATGGGCGAGAAGTGAGACCACGGCGGAGAATGAGCAATTTCCACACCTTTGCCCTCTTCTCATCCAAATCTCCACTTCTAGCTCTGCCCAGGGGTTTAGAAAAGCTGACTTAGAAACTCATGAGACACAGGAGAGTACAGAGGAAAAGAGACATACCCGGAAGGGGTCCTATAAACAGAAGGACAGACAGATAGATGAACCTAAAGAGAACCAGGCAGAGGAGGCTGAGGTGTGGAGGAGTGAGAGAAACTCTGAGTGCTGGAGTCCGACAGGCAGAGATAGGAGATGAAAGGGTTAGCAGAGGAATCGGGAGGGGGTAAGCAGTGGGGAGGAGGTAATGAGGGACAGGACGTGAGGGAAGGGCTGGGGAGTTAAGGCCACTGGGAGCAGGTCCCCTCCCCCCTTGCCTCGGGCCTCCTGAGCTAACAGCGGGCATTCCTGGAACATGATGTCATCAGCTTGGCATGGCCCGGTGGCCTGCACTCTGGCGAGGTGGCTGAACTCTGACCAGCCAAGAGAAAACCCCCCTCTCTGCCCCCGACAGTTCCCCACTCCCTCAGCCCACCCCCGCCTTTCCTACATTCCAGTCTTTCACTGTCGCCCTAGGCAACTTGGCTGCCCAAAACCAAACCCTAGGGAGGAGAGGCTGGAGGGTCAGGCAGGAGTCCAGGCTGGGCAAGCAGGGAGGCAGCAAAGGAAGGAAGAGAGGGGAGGACAGAGGCTGAGCAGAGGAAGAAGACTCCAGAAAGCAGACCCAGCATGGGAGCGGGAGAGCCAGGTAGGGCACAGAGAAGGGAAGCGAGAGAGAAGGTGGGGCAGCAATGGAGGTCCTGACACATGGTGGGGACAGCTGCTCTGTGAGCAGATGAAGAGGCACACGTTCTGCTCCGGCTTCCCTAGGCGCTCGTGACTGTGTCTGTGTGCGGGGTGCGCTGGTGGCCTTGGGCCCTGGTCCAGATCTGGGGGCAGCACTCACCACAGGAGCAGCAGACAAAGCACTGGGTGTGGTAGAGGCTGTCCAGGGCCTGGCAGGCGTTGCTTTGCCCGTAGATGCCTTTGTTGCACTTGATACAGGTGCCTGAGGGGAGAGATGTTGTCAGCATCACGTCCTACTCCCCCTGCTCAGAACCTGGGGTTCCCGTTCTGTCCTGATTGTGCCAAGTACCACAGGCCAGAGCCTCCCTGTGATGGCTCCCTTCTGGGAAGAGAGGGTACTAGGAGATGGAATGAAGCAAGGTCTTGGCTGAGTGGATCCATCCTTATGTATTGATTAACCAACAGATACTTATTTTCTGAACATCTATTCTGTGCCTAACAAAAATACTGTGCTCAATGCTGTGGAAAACTGGAGGTATGTCAAAGATATGGTCCCCAGCCTTCAAATGCTTACTTCCCACTGGGGAGAAAAGACTAAGCAGGTCAAGTATGACCCTTGTTGCGCCGTGTGGGACAATAGAGATGCTGGTCCACACACTCCCTAGGGAAAGAAGGCCGGGCCCAGCAAGTCTCTCTGGGACCTGCTTCTCCGTCTGTAAAATGAGCTGATGTTCTGCTCAAGAATGACTTCTCACTGCTCCAGACCTCAGGCTTCCAAAGGAGGAAAAGAAGGATCTGGCTCTGCAGTGGGACCTGCGCAGAGGGGACCATGTGAGCATGACTCCTGCGGGGAGAATGCAGGGTGTGTTCCCAGGAGGGTGGCATAGGAAGAGGGGGATGGGAGATGGAACCCCTAAGGTCTTCCAGTCATCTCCCATCATGGGAGGGTCAGAGCTGAACTACTTCCCTTCACTCCCCCTCCCCCTTCAGTGCCTCCCCCCTCGCCACCCCACAAATGCATACACCTGGCTCTGGCACCCGCCTTTCCTGGGTGTGTCCTTTCCTCCCTCCACTCCCCAATTCCAGGCCCATGAGTGAAGGTGAGGGCCTGTCTTTGGGGAGCAGATCCCAACGGGCCTGCCTCACCCCGCCCCACCTCTCCCCCTCGGCACTCTGCCACACTCCTTGCCTGTTGGGGCCCATCCCAGTTTTTGCCCAGAGGCTTGGGAGCCCGTGCGGCAGCTGCAGCAACTGATGGGCCCAGGCCTGTCCCGCTCCCACCCTCTGGCAGCTGGGCAAAGCTGTAGCCAAGGAAGAGGGCCCCTACTGAGGACAGGAGTGGGAGGGCACAGTCAGGCTGGGGGTTCTTACAGAGGAGACTACCTGACCCACAGGAAGAAGAGGCTCTACTCTGGGGTCAAAATGTGGCCTCCCCCTAGGAGTGAGGATCTATCTGCCCCAAGATTGCCATGCCAGGAGGCCCGTCCAAGCCATTTCTCCGGGACGTTGTGGGAAGATAAGAGCAAGCTGCTCAGGCATGTCCGCCTCACCTCCTCTAGCCCAGAAATCCAAATCTAGGTTCTTGTTGTCATTTTTATTGCACTTTATCTGAATTCATTTTTCCTTTTGGCTCTGATGGTTTAGCCAATGAGACTTCTTTCCATCCAACACCCATTTCTCCTGGGCCTCAAAAGAAAATTGCAAGAAGCATCCTGTTACTTAAGTCTCCCTGGACCAAAGCCTCTGCTGTGGGCTTTCCTCTCTAAGGGCAGAGGGAAAAGGATGGGGGTTGGACCAGGAAGGCCCCTTCCAGTCTGCAGCCCTGCTACCCCTGTACCTCCTCTGCACCGCCCCCTCCCTGGCTGGCGCTCTCTCCTTATTCACATTACTAGCCATCAAGGCCTAGAGCAGGACATGGGCAGTGAGAAAGGTGAGGAGATGCTTGGAAAACTGAAGAGGCCCGTAGCCCTGGGTGAGCCCTCCCTTCTTCCTGTTCTTCTCTGATCATAGTCGGATGAGTACTTAAATAGTGAAGAGGTGCCTGTAGGTCTTGGCTAAAAGATATTTCAGTACCCCAATATCTCCCCATAGCTGAGACATAAAATCAATGCTCTCAAAGGTAACTACGTGGGGGCAGGGGGAGCCAACGACCAGGTTTCCTTAACAGCAACAGGAAAATGGGAGGCGCCTTAAGCTGAATTCTGAGCAGGTGATGGCCAAACGGCAGTTACACAGGGTTATCCATGGGGTGATGGTGACCCAGCGGTCATGCCTTCTGCCCTGACTTCCGGATGGGGACATAGAAGCTGCCACCACCAGGTCTCTGTTTAAACGCCCATGACCGCACCGAGCCAGCACCGAGCCAGTACCGAGCCAGCAGGGCCGGGCGGGCAGCAGGAGGGTCCCTGCGTTCAGACCCAGCGCGCTCCATCCTTCCTCCTAGGCTCCATTTCCTCCCCCGCGGCCCCAGCTCCGCGCGTGCTGGGAAGCAGCCCCCGCCCCCACCTCCTCACCCCACGCCCCGCCCTGCGCGGCGCGGCGCCCCGCCCGCGGGCACCTGGAGCTCGGGGACAGGAGCCGGCACGCACGCGGCCCGCCGCCCTGTCCTCCCCCCGCGAATTCCCCAAATTCCTGCGGGCGGCGCCGGGGCCCGCGTGGGGGCTCAGCGCGCAGGAGCCTGCAGGGCACCGCCGCCGTGGGGGGTGGGGGGAGAAGAGGGGGATGCTCTCACTGTCCGCGGGTCACTCCCAGAGGCCTGGGACCGCGGAAAAAACCGAGATCCTACAGCTTGAGAACTGGGGCTCCCGAGAGAATCCGGGGGGATTAGAATTCAGCAGGATAGGGGTCCCCAGTCCATTGAAACCCATTAGGAAGGGGAAGACCCTCTGGCCTCTTTTCCAGCCCCGCGTCTGCGCCTCCGACCCCCCGGGGCCGGCGCTTTGGGCCGTCGGGCCGGTGAGGGGTCCCTTCCGCTCCCTAACCACTGGTCTCACTCACCGAAGTAGTCCTCTCTGGCCTCGGGTTCCCGCATTCGGGGTCGGGCGGTCTCCGGGACGAACGGACCCGAGGGCTCCTCGAGACCAGACGGCTCCATGCCCGAGGGGTCCCCGCGGGCACCGGCCTCCCGCAGGCGCAGCAGCGCGGTGAGGTCCTCCTGGTACCGGGCGGCCGCCGCGCAGTCCCCGTAGCCGGTCACCGAATGCCGCCCGGGCTGCGCTCCTCGTCTCTCCAAAGGCCCCGCCACTCCCGCTCCAGACCCGGCCAGAGACCCGGGGCTGCCCAGGGCCGGGGGGTACGAGTGGCGGCTCTCCTGGCAGCCGAACCCTGGGGGCCGGTGAGCGCAAAGTCGGTCCAGGGCAGCGTGGAGCTCCGGATAAGTGGACGGCACCCCTCCGGGGGAGTAGCCCGCCGGAGCCCCGACCAGAGGGGGGCCGAACAGGCACGGCCCGACGGGCAAGGGGCTGCCGTGGCGCTGGTCGTAGCCCATGCTGATGCCGCTGGTGCGGTTGCTGCAGGGCCGGCTGCCCCCGGCCCCGCCGGCCCCCGCCCCGTCCAGCAGCAGGCTGCCCCGGGGGCTGGACGGCTTGCTCGCGTCGCTGGCGGAACTGCTGGCAAAACTGGAGCGGGGGCTTAGGGCTGGGGCCGTGGTCTCCAGCCGAAAGTCTGGGTTCAAGGACTGAGGTAGCTGCAAGACCCGGGTGGGAGTCGGCCCCCCGGGAAAGGAGCCCTCGTAGCGCTGCGCCTCAAAGGAGCCGCGCGGATTCCGCTCAGCGTCCAGGGGTCCTTGCTCCCGGGCGGGCTCCAGCGGCTCATCCCCAGGTCCCCCGGCAGCTCCACGGGGCCCTGGTTTTCTAGGTCCCCCCGACCCACTCAGGCGCCCTTTGCCCGGCCCAGGGGTCCCATCGGACCGGCTAGATTCACCCTTTCTGCGGCCGAACTTAGCGCTGCCCGAGTCCGAGAGTCTTAACTTCTCAAACAAGCGGCTGGCTTTCTCTCCTAACCGCTCCATGCCCTCGGGCCTGGGGCCTGCAGCCCCCTCCCCGCAGCGTCTCGGCCACCGCTCCTCTGTGCCTGCGGCCGGGCTCCGCTTGCCCAGGGGCACAGGGTAGGCACCAGGTTTCAGCGGGTGGATCAGATGCCCGGCGCCAGGAACCCCCCAGCATCCCCCAGCAAGAGGGGCTGCGAACCCCCGCGCATCAGGGGTTAAGCAGGTTTGAAGGGCCTACGGCTGTCCCGTCCGCAGGTCTGTCCGTCCACGCGTCGATCTGCCCAGCCGCCCCACTGCTCCGGCCCCCGCCCCCCTCGCTCTCACACTCAGCACGGACGGAACTTCTCTCCCAAACTTTTGTCTGCCTGGCCGGATCTACTTTCCGGGAGGGGCGGAGCACCGAGTGGAGGAGAAACAGGGGTGTCTGCGTAGGGATCTCTGGTACGCGGAATTGGGGTGGTGGGAGCTGGTCCTAACAGTCCTGGAGGTGGAGATTCGCCGCCAGGAGAGGAGAGGAGGGCAAGTTTGGGCAGTTGCTACTACATCACTCGATAATTGGGACAGGGAAAAGTTAGGGTGGGACTCTTTGTTTGCAGTTGGAATGCGCGGAGGGGCATGGTGGAATGTCGTGATCTAGAACCGGGAGACGCGAGGCATGCTCTGTGCAAACACCACTTTGTTCCTAGTATGGGGACTGGGAGAGATGAAGAGAGACTGATTGAGACAGGAAGGGGTCCATAAAGAGGAAGACGGGGAAAAAGAAGAAAGGTAGGTATATGAAGAGTTCCAGAGACGCCGACGTAGTGTCCAGAAAGGCCAGGAAGCCCATGTAGAGAGGTGGTGGAAAACAGGTAGTCAAAGGAAAGGGGGCAAAGGAGGTTGAGGGTGGTGCAGAGACCGAGGATGAGTAGACTAGGAAAAAGACAAATTTGTGCAAGTCCAGAGAGAATGAGAGATAAAGAGATAAACTGTAATAAAAAGACACCCCTTCCTGAACCCAAAGCTCTGTTTAAGGAGGGAAGGAACTTTAGTGTCTCTGTAAAAGGAGTAAAAGGTTTGGAACTAATCTCTAACTTCAGATTAGGACAGATAGACAGACACCCCCTGGTGTTGGGAAATGAAACTTTTTAGCAAATATTTCAGGTGACTATGGAATAAAAGGTCTGGTTTTAGGGCTAGCGAATGTCTCCTCCCCTCTTCGCCCCCACACTTTGGTTGGCCCACAGGAGATTTACGATAAAGAGTAAGTATTAAGAAGAAGAAAAATAATGTCATTTAAAGGCGTTAGCAAGTGAAAATGATCAGGGTGGAAAAGAAAAAAGCTGTTATTGGCCATACTAGAAGGATCAAGAACAAGGAAAAGAAGAAACTGTGGTTGAAGCTAAACATTTCCAATTAAATACTCATCAACTGATTTTGCCCAGACTAATACATCAGGGGCAAGGGATGGAGGAAGTAGAATGGAGAAAATGACTCCTTTGTATTTAGCTAGAAAATGAATAGGAAAATCATATGCAAACAAATCATGCTATTATTTTTGTCTCAACATTTTGAACACCTTTTATAACCTTAGTGTAACTGTAGGAAATGGGAAAAGAAAGGGGGTTAATATCTTTGGGGAAATTAATTTGGTACAAACTATTTGGCTTCTTTGTCCTAGCTGCATTGTTTCCCTGACTTCATCTCTCCTGAGAATCAGCTTCTCTGTTTGCCTGGTCAGGCTTACAGCTTTTCTCTGATCCAGAAGAGAGTTTACTATCAGACTGGAAGCAAGGAGGACCGAAAGCATTAGTAATAGAGAGGAGCTATCAGATTGCATCCAGAGCTTGCTGTGAGCAACATCTTCAGAATTAACCATAGGGCACTCCCTCCTTTCCTGTCTCCAAATGGAGGAGAACCTGAATTCTCCCTCCCAATTATTTATATCCAAAATATCCCAACAGCCTCTAATATTTGGAAGCTTTGCTCCGTTGGGGTGAGGATGAGAGAGTATGAAAAGTTGAAAAGCCATTAAAAGAGGCCCACCCAGGAGTTGGTGGTGGCAGCAGTGAGCACAGTTGGAATCAACGACCTGCATTTTCAAGAATCATAGGAAGGAGGAGAGAGGCACTCTGAGATGGCGTGCTCCGATAGGACTCACAACCTCAGGGTAACCAGTCATTAGTTTAAACTGGAGTCAGGAGCTCCATAGGCCATATTGTCCATCCCAAAGACTTTAATTAAGGTCTAGATATACAAATGACTGCCAAATCCATATCTCTAGCCCAGACTTTCCTAGATTTAAAAAATTTGAGTACGAGTATCTACTTCGTTGTCTCAAAGGCATACAACACCCTAAACTGACCTCACCTTCCCTGCCTCCTGAAACTGGCTCCTCCAGCATTCCCTGAGTAAATAGCATCCACAACCACTTAGCTGCTTAAACCAGAAACCTAAACAGCGATCTTATGTCCTCCTCTCTTAATCTCAAATCCATTTAAGTCCTATCACCAAGTCTGATCAATTCTGCTTCCTAAATATCTTTCAAATCTGCCCTCTCTTCATCACCATTGTGTCTCTTGGGCTGCCATATTTTCTCCCCAGAACCATTGCAAGAGTCTCACTGCCAAGGCTTTCCCCTTCCAAGCCATCTCATAACCTAAGGTCAAGTGACTCTTCTAAAACACAGAACTGATCAATTCATTTCCCTCCTTAAAACCTTACAATGATTTATCATTGCCCTTGAACTAAAGTCTAAACTCTTTTAAGATATTTTACAAGGTTTTTCTACCTCTCCAGCCTCTTCTCCTCGACATCATCTCCTCCCCAAAATGTCCTGTAGAATTGCATCTTGTTTGTGCTCTCTAGTACCCGTTATTCCTTATGATGGGAACACTTCCCTGGCCTCCCTTCCCATCTGGTTAACTCCTCCCCGTCTTTCAGGTCTCAGTTTAAATACTGAGAAGCCTTTCCAGCTACCCCTGCTGTATACTGCCAGGGCCCCCTACAGTCCCTCCTCACTCTTAGCACGATTTATTTCACTGCCTACTTAACTGCCTGGTTTTCTGACTAGTAGTAAAACCTTAGATCAGCATCTGCTTTGATCAACTTTGTATCTATAGCACAGTATCTGACACTTAGTAAGCAATCAATGTTTGTTATATGGATGACTGACTAGAAAGCCATTTTTACTTCTCAATCTATTCAAATTGCATACATTTTGTGTGCTGGTGTGTGCACACACGTGCGCGCGCACACGCACGCACGCACACACACACACACACACACACACACACACCTTCCTCAAAATACTGCTAGGCTGACAAAACTAAGAAATGGCTAGAGCCCTATATGTGCACATAGTGGTAGAGCGGGTACCAGTGAGACATGGGAACTCTTTTAGCCTTAATTTCCTCATGTGTAAAATGAGAATAATAACATCTGCTACATATAATTCAATAAAGCCAGTACATCTAAATCCTAATTCCCAAAAAGGGATGGGAGCCCCAGTTCTGCTCAAAAGAACCAAAGATTGAAACTGCCCACCAGGTGGCAGTATTACTCTGGACTGGTTCTGTGCGGCTTCCACTGCAGAGCACGGCCCGCGGTCCTGGGGAAGCTGAAGGTACAACCAGGAGTGCTTCCCCAGAGCTTTTAGTGAAACCAGAAAAATAAAAACAAAACAAAACACTCAGAGACCCGGGCATATGTTGAGAAGGCCTCATGTTTCTTAGACCCATCCTCCTCCTCCTCTCATCCCGGGCTCTTCTGAGGCATTGTTTATGCTTAGGAATAAGCATTTTCTGGCTTGCCATTCACAATGGGGGAATTTCCCCGTTTCAAATTAAGTCCTTTTATCCCCACAGAGCTGCCAGCTTTCATTTCCAGTAGGGCCTGTGCTAAGAACAGGCAGACTTGCTTTCTCAGACTGCAGAGGACATTTCCTTCTTCTGGGAAGCCCAATAGCCCTGACTTTGGGGCATGGGGAGTGGCAGAAGCCAGAGCTACTCTTGGCTATAGATTTCACTCATCCTTTTCCACCTTGACTTCAATAAATGAATTCAAGTCATGACAGCAGGTTTTATGGGACTGGTCAAAAGATAGGGAGACAGGTCCATTTTCATCACCTCCCTCATCTTCCTCTTCTTGGAAATTAGGATTATAAAGTTCCGGTGGAAGGAGCTGGGCCTCAGCAGAAGGTAATCTGTCTGAGGGAGGCCCATATATACGGTTGGCTTTAGTGCCATGCTTAGAGTTGGCATCCAGATGGTAGCAGAGCTCTGTGAGGCGCTGGGCCCGGAAACGGGGAGGCCTGGCTACCCAGACACCCGGCTCATTAAGACTGTCCTCTTCATCTGACATCAGCTCTTCGGTCACATCCTTCCACAGGTGTTGCTCCTCAGGCCCAAAATGCCTCATGATACTGGATCGGTTGGCAAAAAGCTATAGTAGGAGCCCAGGACAGGGATTAGGAAGAGAGAAAGAACCATGGATTAGGTTTGGGGAAAGGGTTTGTGTAGGAGGAAGTCTGTGTAAAGTGTGCCTGAGAGAACCCGGCCCTCAAGTCAAATCTTAGAACTGGCTCACCCTCCTCCTCCTCTGTCTGCCTACATTCTTGGCTCTCAGCTCTTTTCTTAGATGCCATGACCTCTGGCCCTTCCCACTGGTGCTTAGTAGGGTTTAGAGTTTAGCATCTTGAAAGGAGGCCTGTAACCTACCCTGTATCTGCGACTTCGCAGTTTCTTCTCCTCTTTTTCCTTCAGTCCTTTAAAGGGGTTCAAGGAGTTGCGGTACTCACGTCTCTTCGTGAGAAAGTAGGCTACACAGGCTCCTGGCGGGGAGAGAGAAGGGAAGGAGCAAAGAGCAGCGGTTCTCAGCCCTTTGTTCTTCCCTAACATTCCTGGATGGGAGGGTCAGTATCACTATTTACTTATTTATTAAATATATTTTTATTGATTTTAGAGAGGGAGAGAAAGATAGAAATATTAATGATGAGAGAGAATCACTGATCAGCCACTTCCTGCATGCCCCCCACTGGGGATGGAGCCTGCAACCCCAGGCATGTGCCCTTGACTGGAATCGAACCCCGGACCCATAGGTCCACAGGCTGACGCTCTATCCACTGAGCCAAACCAGCCAGGGCAAGTATCACTATTTATTTATTTTTTTTTTTTTTTTTTTTTTTTAATATATTTTATTGATTTTTCACAGAGAGGAAGAGAGAGAGATAGAGAGTTAGAAACATCGATGAGAGAGAATCATCGATCAGCTGCCTCTTGCACACCCCCCACCGGGGATGTGCCTGCAGCCAAGGTACATGCCCTTGCCCGGAATCGAACCCGGGACCTTTCAGTCCGCAGGCCGACGCTCTATCCACTGAGCCAAACCGGTCCCGGCGAGTATCACTATTTAGACACTGGGTTTTCTTTCAGTAATCACCCATCAGTAAACAAATTTTTTAAAAATCCATCATTTTTTTGTATTTTCTCTAGTATAAAAGATGAAAATTGCTTAATTATTCATAATTTAGACTCGGTATTAATGAAAACTAAATCACCCACCTATAATTTTATACATTGAATATTTGGAATAATTACCAGAGACTAGCTTCTGTATCTATGCATTTCAAACTTTGCTTGTCCTCAACTGCTCATGTACTCCAATGTTATTCCCCATCATACACATTCATACTGTGATACGAGCTTTGTTCCTGCACCATTTCGGAGGCTGGGAAGTTCAAGGTCATGGTCCTGGCAGATTTCATGTCTGGCAAGAGCCCACTTCCTGGTTTGTGTGTGTGTGTGTGTGTGTGTGTGTGTGTGTGTGTGTGTATATATATATATATATATATATATATATATATATATATTTTTTTTTTTTTTTTTTTTTTTTTTTTTTTTGTCTTCTCACTATGTCCTCACATGACAGAAGAGCACACTATTTTTAAAACCTCCTCTTAGGTTTAGCTCTCCCTGCCCACATCATTCTCTAACACTAACTCCTCTGGAGAGTTAAGTACTGGAAAAAGAAAACTCCAATGTTTTTGTAACTCCTCTCCCCCTTCCCCAATTAAACTAACCCCCATTCTACTCTGCTGATAGTGGATTACAAGTGCTTTCCTTTTTTATCTTTGCCCAAGGATATTTTCCCATTGATTTTTAGAAGAGAGAGGGGAAGAGAGAGAAACATCGCTGTGAGAGAAGAGCCCAATCTGGCTGGGGAGAAGCCTGCGACCAATGTATGTGTCCCCGGCTAGAATCGAACCCAGGATCTCTGGTCTGCAGGCCAGTGCTCTATCCACCAAGCACTGGCTTGGGCTCAATGCTTTCTTTTTATTTGTAAAAAGGTGGCTTTATTTGCCACTTATTCACCTATCTCAGTTATGCCATTTTGGCATATACAGCAACACTCCTTGGAAGCTGGAGTCAGTCCCACCCACCATGGTCATTAACAGACCACAGGCCACATGCTGAGGATCCCACTGACTCATATATAAACATCATGAATAATGGTGTTCCAGCTCTTCCCTTCTCCCATTTTCATTTTAGACTGAGTAAGTGAATAAAACGGCTGTTAGAGGCAATCCTGTGAATATTGTAGATGAGAAGAAACCAAAGTAGTTTTTTTTAAATCCACTCTTTTAAAATCACCTAAATCATCTCCACTATGGCTCTTCCCCTTTGCCCAGGAACAGGGAGAAAGGATAAAATGAGGGTTAACTTGGTTTTTCTCACCTTTCAGCTCCTTATCAGTGTAATTGTGGGGACTGGTCACCAGCTCCTGCTTGAGCTTATCCAGAAGGAACTTCACTACTGAAATATTCCAAGAGGATTTGATGCTGCCACAAAAAGAAGAGAGTGAATAAAGCAATCAGCATGTTTGAAACTAGACAAATAGAGATTCCCAGAAGTAATCCACTTTGTGATAAATTCCTCCATGGCAGAAGTCAGGATATAAGAGGCAACTGTGTATCCAGAGCCTTAGCCTCAATATGATATTAGAGCGGCCCCCTCAACTTCCCTTCCTCAGCAAGGTATGCTGTGACACTTTTCCCTCAAGTGGATCATACCTTTCAGACCCATTGAATCTCTTGTCATTGGTGATGTGGTTATGCACATTGTGGACCAATTTCTAGGGGAAACAAACAAATAAACAAACACAGAATCAAACCAGGGGTGGATATGATGAAACCCTCCTCTGGTTCCTATGCATTGTTCCCATACAGTTCTCTACCTTTAGGAATCCTTTCTGTCAATGTCCTTTCTTAGCCAGAGAGCTTATCCAAGTTATATATCTAATGCCTTCCCCTTCAATTAATTTGCTTGAGGACTCCAAAATCATCCCTGGCCTTGCTTCTGTTCCTAAGGAATATGATCTCTAGAGCAGAGGGTCTCAGACATTTTCACAAACATACTCCCAGTAGCAAGGAGAGAACAGATATACATCAGGGCTATTAAGTGGAATTTTCTTGAAGCCACCTATTCTTGCAATTTTTATTTTATTTATTTATTTATTTTTAATTATTTTAAAAATTTCTTTATTGATTAAGGTATCACATATTTGTCTCAACACCCCATTCCAATCCCCCACCCCTCCCCACTCATATCCTCACCCCCTATTGTCCCTGACCACTGATTAGGCTCATATGTATGCACATAAGTCCTTTGATTGATCTCTCCCTTTTATCCCCACTCTTCCTTCTTGCAACTTTTAAAAATTTCTTCACAACATATCTGTATTTTTTTTTGCACTTTAATTTCTTTATTGATTAAGGCATTACATATTTGTCCTTATCCCCCCCTTATCTTATCTGTATTTCTTTTAATATAAAAATATCTGTCTGGCTAGTGTAGCTCAGTGGTTGAGCATCAACCTATGAACCAGGAGGTCATGGTTTGATTCCCAGTCAAGGTACATGCCTGGTTGTGGACTCAATCCCCAAAAAGGGGGTGTACAGGAAGCAGCCAATCAATGATTCTCTCGCCTCACTGATGTTTCTCTCTCTCCATCTCTTCCTCTCAATAAAAATATGCTTTAAAAAATATCTTCCAGCCAAAACCAGTGTGGCTCAGTGGACAGAGAGTCAGCCTGCAGACTGAAAGGTCCCAGGTTCGATTCCGGTCAAGGGCATGTACCTTGGTTGTGGGCACATCCCCAGTAGGGGGTGTACAGGAGGCAGCTGATGGATGTTTCTCGCTCACGAAGGCAGCTGATGGATGTTTCTCGCTCATCGATGTTTCTAACTCTCTATCCCTCTCCCTTCCTCTCTATAAAAAATCAATAAAGCCGAAACCGGTTTGGCTCAATAGATAGAGCGTCGGCTTGGGGACTGAAAAGTCCCGGGTTCGATTCCAGCCAAGGGCATGTACCTTGGTTGCGGGCATATCCCCAGTAGGGGGTGTGCAAGAGGCAGCTGATCGATGACTCTCTCACCGATGTTTCTAACTCTATCTCCCTTCCTCTCTGTACAAAATCAATAAAATATATTTTTTAAAAATCAATAAAATATATTTAAAAAAATCTTCCAAAATTTTCTAGTAAAATTGATTATCCAGGAAAATGTTCTACGTATATCCCTTTGTACATCTCCACAAATGTCAGGAGTACACATAGCATGGTCTGAAAAACAGAAACCTAAAATAACAGAAATGTAAAGTGGAAAGGTCCTTGGAGGCTCTGTCACCCACTTTCCTTTCACATCATTAAACAGGCTGTCTTTCAGTTTTGCTTATACACCTTTCATGAAGGGTCTCCACTAGTTTTTGAATAAGCTTATTCTGTTGAACTTATTCTGTAAAAATTCTGCCTTAGATGTTCCAAATTCTGACCCGTTTTAACCATAATAGGACCTGAAATATTTGAAGACAGTTTTCATGCACTCACAAAATCTTCTCTTACCCAGTCTAAACACCCCCACATCCTTTAGCCATTCCTCGTGACAGAGTTTCGAGGCTCTTTGGTTTGCTAGTGTCCCTCTTACAACGTGGCACCTGGATCCAAATCTAGCTCATCAGCTGAGGTCTGGCCAAGGGAGCATTACTCCCCAAGTGGAACTCTACACTTGTAGGAATGAAACCCAAGATGGTGTTACCTTCCTTAGCAACCCCTTCCCTACTTAGAGCGTCATAGGGTTCATTCATAGAGAACCTGTAGTCAAGTTCATTTTTCACATGGATTAACTATCTTTACCATTCTGCAGATTTAAAAAAAAAAAAAATTTTAATGTAGGGTTTTAAATTTCTTCCTATTAAATTTAGCTCTGTTATTTCTGATTATATTTTCATCCTAAGCTCCCACAGTCAATGGATGTGAGTGGTCATCTCTACCCAGTTCTAAATTGATGGGACTCACTTCCTGACTTCAAATCTTCAATTTCAGCCCTAGCTGGCTTGGCTCAGTGGATAGAGTATCAGCCTGTGGACTGAAGGTTCCAGATTCGACTCCTAGTCACGGGCACATGCCTGGGTTGCGGGCTTGATCCCGGTGTGGGGTGTGCAAAAGGCAGCCAATCAATGATCCTCTCTCATCATTGATGTTCCTATCTCTCTACCCATCTCCTTCCTCTTTGAAATCAATAAAAATTATATTTAAAAAACACTTCAATTTTGCCAAAACCGGTTTGGCTCAGTGGTAGAGCGTCAGTCTGCAGACTGAAAGGTCCCGGGTTCGATTCCGGTCAAGGGCATGTACATTGGTTGCAGGCACATCCCCAGTAGGGGGTATGCAAGAGGCAGCTGGTGGATGTTTCTCTCTCATCGACATTTCTAGCTCTCTATCCCTCTCTCCTCTTCTCTGAAAAAAGCAATAAGATATATTTAAAAAAAAAAAAAAAAAAACTTCAATTTTGTATTCAGAAATGCCCAATTTACCCTTCTACCTCTATGGCTAACTGACCATATCAAGTTAGGAAATTACTGATCATTTTTTGTGGCTATGATCTCCACTCTATGAAAAAGACTATTATACTAGTTTCATATTTGATAGAGTTATTTTACATCTTAGAAGTCCAAAATTACAGAATCTCAGGGAGATGTGAGAATGCTTCAGAAAGAATTTGAAAGAATTGCAAAAGAAGAAAGGGGAAAAAAAGGAGTTACATAATTTTCAATTCAAGTGGCTTGGAAGAGATGAGCCGATAAATATCAAACCAGGCTTGAAGTGGAAGGGGACAATATTCTAGACAATAGTATTAAAACTTGTGTGAAGGCTGCTGGCTAAAAGTAAATGGATTTCCACAAGGGGTGGCTGGGATGTACAGCATTTCAAGAAATTTAGGGTTCTGGTTTGGTCCTTTTGGGTCCTTAGAAGCAATCCACAGATAGTGAAGAGCTGCAACTTTCTCTCTCCCTCTAAACCCAGTCTGGCACTAGAACATTTTAAATCTTCTTCTGCGATGGGCAGCAAAGTCCCCTGACTGGCCCTCTAGATCAGTACTTTGCAAGTACTACAGTGAGTGAACATACTGCACCCCCCAGAAGGACTGCTGTTCCACCAGACCTCCAAAGGGCAGGAAGAAGCCAGGCCTCAACACTGAACCTCTTACTGGAGGCAGTAGGCAGGAGAGGAATGGAAGTGACAGAAAAAAATACTCATCTTATGCAAATTAGAAATATCATACATTTACTCATAACTTATAATCACTATAAAGTTTGGGGAAATCCCTCAATTTCTATCACTGGCAGCAAAAGAGGACCTCTTGGGTCAGAAATCCATGACAAAAAAATGACAGCCATTCCCTGATCTTGATAAGTGAGGAGATATCCCAGAACATAACCAAAATTTGAAATGAAGGTTAGAAACCAGTTAAAACTGATTATGGTGTCTTCCTTCCTAAGGAAAATCCCTCAATGTAAAAACAAATTAAATGAAAGGGAGAATAAGGTGGGATCCCTTAGGAAAAGGAAGAAGGAAGTAATGTAAATAAAGGAGATAAAAATGTTTTCAACCTTTTCTAAGACTGTAATAAGAAGAAATGGGCAATACTATATATTGTGATAAGATTCTGTTTGGATGTGAGTGGTGATCTCCACTCCTAACCAGAACTTTGAAGTTACTTCATTAGCCATTATCCAGGGCATGGAAACCCATTATAGTCAATCTGAACATTACAGTATAAGGCTAAAGAACAACCCAGAAAGATGTTTTTGGGCACAGATCCAAAGGACTATGGTCACCCTAGAACAAGTTTCTCAACCTTGGCCCTATTGACAGTTAGGCCCAATAGCTGCAGGTGTTGTCCTGTGCTCTGTAGGATGCCGAACAATGTTCCATACCTCGGCTTTAGACACAACTAGATCAGATCAGTACCTTTTCTGCCAAGAGCTCTTAGACTCACTAAAATCTCCAAACTTTTATAACTGAGCTAAGTGTCTAATGGGCCTCTGCATCTTCGGGGTTTGGGACCACCTCAGAACACTCGGACCTTTCTGCCCAAAGGGCCCCTTGCTGCTTCCCCTGAACATATAATTTTCAGGCAGTTTCCAGTGGTCAAACTGCTCAATCCCTTAAAGATTTTCCCATTAGGATTATTAGATCCCTGGAAGATGTGATATAATGCTCCCCTTTTTGTTTCTTTTATTTAAATATATATATATTTCAGAGAGGAAGGGAGAATGAGAGAAAGACAGAAACATCAATGATGAGAGAATAATTGATTGGCTGCCCCACACTGGGGGTTGATTTCACAACCCGAGTATGTGCCCTGACCGGGAGTCAAACTGTGACCTATTTCATAGTCGAGGCTCAACCACTGAGCCACAGCCAGGATGCCCCCAGTTTTAATGGAAGATATAAATTTATCTGGAAAAGCCTAAAAAAAGTTCCATTGAGCCCAGCTGGCATGGTTCAATGGTTGAGTATCGACCTATGAACCACAAGTTACATGCAGGAGGCAGCCAATCAGTGATTCTCTCTTATCATTGATATTTCTCTCCCCCTCCCTCTTCTTCCTCTCTGAAATCAATATATATATATATATATATATATATATATATATATATATATATATATATATATATAATTTATTTATTTATTTTTAAGTTCCACTGATAGGTGGGGGACTGCCTAACCCTAGAGCTCTGGAACAATCTCCTTCTTGCCTCTCTCACTCCAGTAAGATTCAGGATACCATGCATTCAATATGGGAAGCTTAAAATCAACCCACACTTTACTCCTCCATTTATCTTTCTAGATTGAAGAAAAATTCATAGAAATTGAGCTCACTCACAGAAAGTACCAGATCCCGCTTGCGCCTGGAGTTCTTCTGCCCACTCCCTCTGGTCCTGCACGGGGAAGCAGTAAACCCTAGAGAGTGTCTCAGCTCCCCAGCTCCCCCTGGGCCTGACTCTTCCAAGGCACCTTCCAGCGCAGCAGCAGCACTGAGCATGTCCTCGGGGCGAGGCAGTGGCAGCTTGATTCCATTTTCTGGCCCTGTCTCTGAAGTTGCCCGCTGGATAGCCAGTTGTGTGGCTGGTGAGAGCTGTTTGGCATAAGCAGAGACCAGCACCCGCGGTACTGCACCCTCAGAGGCCACATAATCATCCACCAGCTAAGAACATAAAAAAGAATAGCCTATTAGCCAGCCCGGCTTAGGGGAACCCGTTAACCATCAATCTCTGGCCAAAGAGAATGAACAGAGAGTGGAAAGCAGGGGGGAGTCTAGCACAATCTTTAGTGGTCAATGGCCTGTTTCTGTGGGACTCCAATAAGAGTGCTGGGCAAATATTTCCGTGTGTACAGGGCTTCTCATGTTGGAGCATTACCATGGGACTGATTATAAGGATAAGGCATGTTGCAGATGCTCTATTTGTGAGGGGTCATTTATGATTTGGTCTTGGGCATAAGAACTGTAGCTAGGTAAGTGTTTTGTCTTGGGGATTGGGGGATTGGGGGAGGAATTGATGACAAGAAAGGAAAACCAAGAGAAGGAACAAGAAAATAAAATGGCAATAATAATAGAGAGGAAAATGGGAGAAAAAAATGGGAAGGAGGAGTTACAGAGCCAGAAATCTCTAGAGAGGCTGGCACCAACTCCCCCCCTCCCCCCCTGCACCCCACTCCCACTCCCTTTGTAGGGCCAGTCTGTGACCTCACCTTGATCCTGCCTTGGTGACATCCAACTGGCACTGTCTTGACATCTACTTGCCTGCCTGCGCCCTTACTCAAGGACATATAGGGCAGGGAAAGGAAGGAGGGAGGAATGGATCGAGGAAAGAAGGAGGGGGATTTCTGCAGCTATGAAAACGAAACAGTGAAAGTGGGGGTGGGGGACACAGAAAGAAGTGGGGGAGGAGGCTGAGATGTATAGACCTGTGAGCTGCTTTCTGCGCTGGGAAATGTAATTCCATCCTGTCGGCTTGGAAGCCTTCCCTGCCTGAAGGAAGCACAGCTCAGGGTATTGCCTGGCCTGGTACTCTCTTGCTTCCTACCACCTTCCAATTCCTCCTACTGCAGCCACTGGCAGTCCTGGCCAGGCACAGCCTGGGGACAGCAGTAGTAGCTGTCCCCCACCCACATAGCTCGGCCTTTGGGGAGCAGTGACCAGCTGCAGTGAGCACTGGAGGGGCAGCGGGGAGTTGATACATTCCTTTCTCAGACCCACAATGCACTGGGCATTGCACCCCTTCCATCCACCTGCGTGTTCTTCTCAACTCTTGACTGGGTGTTCGTGCCTTGTCTTGGAGGGGAGAGGAGAAGAGAAGGACCTGGTGGGGGAGAGCTGACACTTCCCACGGTCTCTCAAATGGCAGCACATCTGATATTTTCCCATCTCTATGATCTCTATAGTTGCTCCATCTCCCTCTCATACTTCCATGTGTGACATTCTGCAGTTTTTACTCTCCTCAGCCAGGATTTGCCTGCTCATATGGCCTTGAGCAATAAAGAAACTGAAATAGCACAAAGTACTTGAATGTCTTTTCCTACTCACAAATATGCTGGCTTGCCTCCCTCCTCCTTACCTTATTCTCTTACTGTTAACTCTTAGTGACCCACTTCTTTTCCTCATTTTATTTCCTTTCCTCTACATTCTTCCCACTTTATCTCATATTTTCTCTAGCATAAAGTCTCTTGCCATTTAGACTCACCTCTTTTTTCACTTTTTCTCCTTCCTCAACCCTTCATTTCCACCTTCCTCTTTCCCTCATTTTCTCTTCTATTATCTTTGTCCTTCCCCTCTCACTTTTTCCTTCTATCTCTCTTACCACTTCTGCCTCTCTCCCCTCTCATTCCCATCTCTCTGTACTGAATTCCTCTTGGCAAGCAGAGGGCCTGTGATAAAATATAAATGAGCCGTCTGTGCATGGCAGGCCTTCTCGCCAGGAGAGGCAGAGAGCATGGAGCATTGAGACAGCTGTGGAGGAGAAGGTGCCGCACAGCTCCTGAGAGGGAGGGAAGGGCACCCATCACCACACACACCGGAAATGACCTACTGCCAAAGAGACTATGGTTCAGGAAGAAACAGGAGTGTGACTACCCTGAAGACAAAGGAGACTTGGGACTATCTCTATTCTCACACGTACAAACAAAAGAAAGGTTTAAGGAGGGGGAAATACAGAAAGAGAGAAAGAAGGAAAAGGCCAGGAAAAGCACTAAGAAGCAACAACACTCGTGTTCTGTCTGCTCTGCAGCAATATACTCACGGGATTGAGCATGGGGGACGCCTCACTGGCAGCCAGGGTGCATCCTGGGAGCCGCACGTCTCTCTGAGCGGCCGGGAAGCCCAAAGGGCCAGGCCTTACAGCCAAGGCTGCTCCCAGCTGCTGCTCGATGGCCACCTGCACACTGCTGCCCACGTCGTCACACTCCTCTTCCGTGGCAGACACAGTCCTGCCGGCTCCCCCGGGACTCTCCTTGAGAGACCCAGGCTCCTCAAGCGGTGAACCATGCGCCTGGCTGTCCCCATCTTCATCAGGCGTGGACACTTGGCCTTGCCTCAACTCCCCCACTTCCTCCTGGAGACGTCTTAGCAATTCATTATTGGCCTTGGCAAGCCCCAGAGCAGCCTCAGCCAGACCCACTGCCTTGTCCACCCGCTGGTAGATAATATGCAGGAGCTGCTCCGAACTGTGAACCGCCAGGCCGTGTCCGGTCACTGTGATGGGGGTGCTGGGAGGAGGATTCGCACTCTGAGAGCCTGTGTTGCCCCCACTAGTCTCACTCTTACAGGCACAGCAGCAGCATCTGGCCTCACTGCCGCTGGGAGGGGAGAAGAGGATGGTGGCACTGAAGGACATGCTGATGGAATAAGGAACCACCACGCTCACCCTGCTGGGCTGCTCCCAAAGGTGTCCCCAGTCGACCGGACTTCACGGGTTTGTAGGAAACACTGGCCTCTGGATTCACTTTTCTTTCTCGTGGAGGATGAGCAGAGGAGCTCGGGCACCAGGCTGTGTGTTCTGCGAGGGAGAAGGCAAGCCGTGAAGGAGCACACAGCTCATGGCTGCTTCTCCTCGTCCTTGAGAGAGGGGCCTTCTTCTGTCTGCAGGTCCTGTGCTCCCCTAGCACAACGCACTGGGGGTCACGTTCATCCTTTACTGACAGGGTGGTGCCTACAGAGGCTTTCCTGATGACAGTTTCAGAAGGTGGAAGGCATTTTTCCTGCACCCACGCAGGAACCCCTACCACTCCCACCTAAGGAGCAGAGAGGGGGCTGGAGAGAACCCACAAGGATCTGAAAAATTAGAAGATTAAGGAAGAAAATGTAGATCCGTAATGACACTATTGCATTTCATTGCTTTGACATCATGCCTTAAGGAGTTCAGAATATTTCACTTAGGTTATCTCATCCATAGGGCAGCTCTAGGAAATACATTACACCAGAGAAGAAACAATGTGAAGAAGTCACATTCCTTTTCAAGGCCAGAGAAAGACAGCAGAATCTAGTTATCTATTTTCAACCTAGTGTTTATTTTTCTGAACTGATACCACTTTTTGTTGACATAAAGAATCATAACTATCCTCTCTATAATTTTCATACAGATGCATTCAGAGGAAGACTCCTACTAGTAAATAAGAAATATGTTGCCCTGGCTGGTTTTGCTCAGTGTTAGAGCATCAGACCATGAACTGAAGGGTCTTGGGTTCGATTCCCAATCAAGGACATGTATCTTGGTGGCAGGCTCGATCCCAGGCCCTCGTTGAGGCACATGTGGGAGGTAATCAATCCATGTGTCTCTCTCACATTGATGTTTCTCTCTCTCTTTCTCTCCCCCCCCTCCCCCGCCTCTGCCCTCCCTCCATGATCTCTAAAAACAAAAAATCAATGGAAAATCGGGTAAGGATTTAAAAAAAAAACAACAGGAAATATGCTGATCACTGCAGTCTTCAATATGTCACTGACTTCACACTATCATATTATGAATGCTTTGGCGGGGGGGTGGGGGTTGGGAATGAAAGGAAACGCTGGATCAGAGAACTGAGCTGCGGTAAATCAGGGCGCAGTGTTCCTTGCTGTGTTGTGTCCTGGGCCTCCACCTCTGCAATCCTTCAGCTTACAGCCCAGAGAGATCACTCCTGGGATCCTTCATCTCCACTTCACATGCTCCTTAAGGGAGAGGCAAAGTTCAACTGGAATGTCTAAGTAGCTAAGTGCTGCCACTGCCCACATGACCAATCCCTATAAAAGGAGAAGCCAGAATATCAATGATAAACCAAACTGCCTCTCTTTTGAATCACTGTAGTTAAGCAACTAAACTACTCCAGGAGAGAGAAGGAAAAAAAGGTGTGGGAGGGTTGGTTTGTACCACTGAGAACACTCAAAGGAATTTCATACTGTCATCTTCTAAATGATACTTGATTATAGAAAAAAATATCCTTCTGCCTGAAGCTCCACAAGTGACAAAATCTTAAGTATGTTTACAATTTCCTCAAGACATACATTTCTATCTCACCCTGTAAATTATAATATCATAATTAAAAGAAGAGGAGGAGGTTAGAAAAAATTTCTGCATATTGAGATTTTTTTGTTTAGTTTGGGATTTTTTTTTTTTTTTTTTTGAATCAGCAATCTCATTTTAGAAACAGGTAATATCAATGCCTCTGAGGTACTAAAGTGTAATCCCGACAATACATTTTCATTACATTTAGTTATTATTAAAGAACTAGAGGCCTGGTTCATGAAATTTGTGTACGATGGGGAGGGGGGTGTCCGTCAGCCCAGCCTGCACCCCCTCCAATCCAAGACCCCTTGGGGGATGTCCAACTGCCAGTTTAGGCCCAAGTCAAACATCCCTCTCGCAATCCAGGACCACTGGCTCCTAACCACTCACCTGTCTACCTGCCTAATGCCCCCAATTGCCCTTCCCTGCCGACCTGGCCACCCCCAACTGCCCTCCCCTGCCAGCCTGGTTGCCCCCAACTGCCCTCCCCTGCTGGCCTGATCACCCCTAACTGCCTCTGCCTTAGCTCCCACCACCATGGCTTTCTCTGGAAGGAAGTCAGATGCCTGGAAGATGGCTGGTCTGGTTGACCTGGTCTAATTAGCATTATTACCCTTTTATTATTATAGATAGTAATTAAAAGTATTTTTAAGTGATTTCAGAGAGGAAGGGAGAGATAGAAATATCAATGATGAGAGAGAATCATTGATAGCTGCTCCTGCATGCCCCCCATGGGGGATTGAGCCCACAACCAAGGCATGTGTTCTGATTGGGAATCAAATCATGACCTCTTTCATGATTCATAGGTTGATGCTCAACCACTGAGCAACAGCAGCTGGGAAAGAATAGTCTTTAATTTGTTCTTTCCACCCTTTATATCAAGAAATGCTTTCCTGCCCTGGCCGGTTTGTCTCAATAGGTTGGACCATTGTCCACTTAAAGGTGGCAAGTTTGATTCCTGGTCAGGGCACATACCCAGGTTGTGTGTTCAATACCCAGTTGGGGTGTATACAGAAGGTAACTGATCAATGTTTCTCTCATACATCAATGTTTCTCTCTCTCCTCTTCCTCACTCTACAATTAATAAAAGTTGAAATAAAACTGAGAAGAAACCAAGTTGAAGGCATAGGTAAACACCTAAACTGCTGCCTCACACAACAATATCAAAACTACAATGAAGCCCTGGCCCATTTGGCTCAGTGGATAGAGCGGTGGCCTGCAGACTAAAGGGTCCCAGGTTTGATTCCAGTCAAGGGCATTGTACCTTGGTTGCAGGCACATCTCCAGTAGGAAGTGTGCAGGAGGCAGCTGATGGATGTTTCTCTCTCATTGATGTTTCTGGCTCTCTATCCCTCTCTCCCTTTCTCTCTGTAAGAAACCAATTATTAATATATATATATATATATATATATATATATATCAACTAAAAGACAAAATAGACACCATCCAGAACTGGAAGGCTGGCTGAGTGGAAATTCTAAAACTAGAAGGAAAGAGGAAAGCACATTGAGACTCAGAGGAGCTGCAAAAGGCTGAGGTACAGAGATGCACTCTCCTGAAGAGGACGGGAGGCTGACTGCATGGGCAGCTGAGTGCACGACTGGCTTTCTAAAGTGGGAGGGAGACAAGTGAACTCCAGTTCTGGGTGAGTTCTGGGAAACCAGATTCATTCGGGGAGAAATTGGACTGTCTGGCAGCAGGCGAAAGTCAAGGGCGGCTTTCTCTCAGAGGTGCTTGCAGCAATTACCGAGGGACACTGAGACCCAGGGACATCATAGGGCAGGGCTGATGAAAAGCCAAGACTGTCTACTCAGCCCTGATATTCTGCTGCATCCAAGCTGAGCACAGAGGCCTTTGCAACTTTGCAAGTCTTATCCCATAAGGCTGTCTCCAGCACAGAAGTTCTCCCAGCGTAGACACAGCTGATCCTCACAGCCAATTGGCCTGGAGGTCAGTTCCTCACACTGATACCAACAACAATCAAATCTTAACTAAGGCTGTGCACACAGTCCACAAAGGGGTGCACCATAAGTGCCCACCTCAGGTAACTGGGGGAAGCTGAGCCACTGGGCCATATAGGACACCTACCACACAAAGCTACTCTACCAACTAAAGGAAGCAGCAAAAATGCGGAGACAAAGAAACAGATCACAAATGAAAGAAATGGAGGAAAACAAATAACTGGATATAAAGTTCAAAACCACAGTTATAAGGTTTTTCAAGAATTTCCTAGAAAAGGCTGATAAATTTAGTGAGACCCTTGAGGATATGCAAAAGAACCAACTAGAAATTAAACATACACTGACTGAAATAAAAAAATATTATAGAGAGACCTAACAGCAGACTAAAGGACCGCAAGAATCAAATCAAAGATTTGAAATACAAAGAAACAAAAAACACTCAACCAGAAAAGCAAAAAGCAAAAAGAATCCAAAAATTTTAAGATAGTGTAAGGAGCCTCTAGGACAACTTCAAGCATACCAACATTAGAATTATGGTGGTGCCAGAAGAAGAGAGAGAGCAAGATACTGAAAACCTATTTGAAGAAATAATGACTGAAAACTTCCCCCGCCTGGTGAAAGAAATAGACTTACAAATACAGGAATCACATAGAACCCCAAACAAAAGGAATCCAAAGAGGACCACACCAAGATACATCATAATTAAAATGCCAAGAGCAAAAGACAAAGAGAAATATTAAAAGCAGCAAGAGAAAAACAGTTAATACCTATAAGGGAGCACCCATACGACTGTCAGCTGATTTCTCAACAGACACTTTGCAGGCCAGACGGGAGTAGCAAGAAATATTCAAAGTGATAAATAGCAAGAACCTACAATCAAGATTACTCTACCCAGCAAATCTATCATTCAGAATTGAAGATAAAGAGCTTCACAGATAAGAAAAAGCTAAAGGAGTCATCACCACCAAACCAGTATTATATGAAATGCTGAAAGGTATTCTTTAAGAAGAGGAAGAAGAAAAAGGTAAAGATAAAAATTATGATCAACAAATACATATATATCACAAGTGAATCTAAAAGTCAAGTGAATAAAAAATCTGATGAACAGAATAAACTGGTGAATATAATAGAATCTGGGGCATAAAAAGGGAGTGGACTGACAATTCTCGGGGGGGGGGGGGGGGTGAGGGAAGAGACTGGACAAAAATCATACACCTATGGATGAGGACAGTGCTGGGGAGGTAAGGACAGATGGTGGGGTGGGAACCGGGTGGAGGGGAGCTATAGGGGGAAAAAAGAAGAACAATTGTAATAATCTGAACAATAAAGATTTATTAAATTAAAAAAAGAAGAAGAAATAAAACTGTTATTCTCTGGAGCATTTGAAATCTTAAA